TAGTATGTTATAACATGATAAATTAAAGTAAAATTTTATGATGACACACACTCTCTCCCTTGGCTTCCTTTATTATCTTACTGCCGTGACATAAATATTGAGTAGATGAGTAAATAAAGGTTCAAGATGATGGGATTTCGGCTTGTGGTGAGTTCAGGTCTAAAAGGTTCTCACTTGTGGGGTTCAGATTTGCTCTCATTGATGCCTTCATCCTCTTGATTTCTTCTTCTGCAACTTGAATGATTTTTCTTTTTCGGCATGATAAGAGAAAGGGCATTGTTGTACTTTGTTATTATAATTATAAATACATAATAAAAATTATATCTCATTCCATTGACTTATCTATAGTTAAGAAAATAAGCCCAATCTAACAGGCCAGTTCATTTTGGCAGGTTACGTTGGCAAAATAAGCTTATTTTTAGAAATAACTGATTTAACCTATCTTGCAAAAGAAACGGGGTATAAGAGCTATCTTGCACATGGAGCTATTAACATGTGATTAAAATTGTTAAAAAATATTTGGTTGAAATTATTGATATTGTATAATAATATGATTAAAATTGTTTGGTTTATTTTATTTTTGAATTAATACACGAAAATGATACAATTTTTTAAATTATGTATTGATATAACTAGAAATCTAAATAAAACATTTAAAAAAAGATTATGTGAGATTTCAAGTCAGATCCTAAGGAAGCAAGCATTGTCAATAAGAATCAGATTTAAAAAATATAATTAATTTAAAATATGTGGACTTAGAGGGGTAAACTCTTATGGATAGCTTTACCTAGGGACCATGCTTGGATTCAAATAAATTCAATCAGAGGCTATGAATCGTGAGTTTAGGAAGTTATATTTTTTTAAGTATTTAAAATATAATTTTAAGATAGTGAAAATAGCAACCAAAGACTTTAGTAGTAAATTAATATCAATCAAAGACCAATATAATCCCTTTAATCCTTGACTGATATTAATTTATAAGGTCAAAAGATCAAACTGTCAGTCAAATTAAAAACAAAAAAAAAAAAAGAAAACTAACAAGCTTCTATAACAGTGTGTTCTCACATGACAATGTGTTGTTAATTTCTGAATAAAATTTATTATAACATAATAGTATATTGTTAATTTCTGAACAAGTTTTTCTATTTTATAAATGTTACTTGTTAATATGACATGAACAATTACAAATGAGTTTGTAAACTAACAAGTTTTATTTAAAAATTAACAATACACCGTTATGTTATAATATGAAAGTAGTTAAAAAACTAAGTTTACTGTTTTTATTTTATATATATATATAATTAAAGGACTTGATCGACTACTAGTCACTAAGCTTTTTAGGTGATTAAGGGTCATGGGATCAAACCCTTTTTAGACCACTTAAGCTAATTATTTTTTCAATAAAAATGTCACCGGCACCAGAGCTTTGGTGATTGGTCGCCAGAAACCCCATCAACTATAGGGGCTCTGTTGACCTCATCACTTGTAAGGATTCGACGGTCGACATTGGCAACAGTGGTATTTCTTTTTTTAAAAAAAAAATGAGAGGCTGTTTGGTCTTTTGATCTCACAAATTAATATCAATCAAGAATCAAGAGATTATATTATAATTTTGAAATCAATTGACCTTTAATTAATATTAATTTACTGCTGAGATCTTTGATTGCTATATGTGTGTGTGTTCCTTCTTAGTTACTATTCCAGTGATTATTAAGGCGCACTAGCCTCACCACAAGGGGCCAGATTTTTATTTTATTTTTATTTTTATTTGATATTCATAGGGGGCCAGATTTTTAATTGTCAATTTACTTGTTTTAACATTTATCATAATTTCTTAATAACTTTAAAAATATTAAATTATATTATGCATGATTATATAATATTTTAAAGGAAATATTAATCTATAACAAATCATTTTAGTAAAATAGTAATTTATAATTATTTTGGTTTAAATATGTTAATAACATATACTCATTTGCTCTTAATTATGTCATGAAATCAAATAATTTTAATATTCTTAAGTAGTAATTGTTAATGTACCTTAAACCTGAAAAAATGAATAACTTTCCAATATTTTTTATTGAAATTAATGAACATATCAAAATGTTACAAAGAAATTAAAAGCATAATGCTAACAATTTGTTAGTACAATTAAGGAGAGGTAAGGTTGGGAAAAAATGGTAAATACCATATCTTTACTCCATGTTTAAAATTAAATAAAATTTTAAAACTCTATATTATAATTAAGACTTGAGTTTTGTGAAGGAAAAAAATTACAAGGAGCGTCCTCTTTATATACTGTTTTGCAATTGCCATCAATCCAAATTAATTACTTTACTTTTAGATAAAATTATTCATATCAATAAAATTTATTAAATATATCTTGTAACTTTTTTAAAACAAAAATATGAATTTTTAAAATTTTCATTTAATATTCTATTTATAAAAAAATATTAATAAAATAATATAATGAGATAAGTAATATTAAAAAAATATGATTAGTAGTAAATTTTATTAGGTTAATAAGAAAAATGGACTATGAAGTATTGTATAAAAAGCACCCTGGACCTTAAATTCTTAAAATGTGCAAAGTAAACCCTAAATTTTTAAATTGATAGTAAATTAAACTCCACTGTTAACTTCTAATTAATGCCATTACTGTTCACTTAGTAGGGCCTAGTCAAAATGCTAATGTGGTAGTCCCTTGTTGATGTGTCATTTTAATTAATATCACATACCCTAAATCATTGTGAGAGTAGTATCATGAATCCTAAACTTTGAAATTCAAAACAAATTATCCTCCACTATTTATATATAAAACGCTAACTATTATGTAAATTAAATTAACTTCAGCATACTATAGTGAATGTATTGCTGGCCACACCGAATGTCCCATAATTTTTTGAAAGGGCATTTCTCCTTTTTTTTCCTGCAATGTTTTCCAAACGATTAGTATTTTATGCTTTTATATACTTTACAACTTTAATTTAATCTTATTTTGAATAATGTTTATTTACTTAATGGTAAAAACTTAAGATCTCATTTGAAAATAAGTTTAAGATTTTAATTAACTGGTTAATTTGGATTTGATATCTATTGATAAAATTGTCAATTTTGCATCCATCGTCTATAAAATCCTTTAGTACTTAAACTTATTTTCAAATGGGACCCTAAGTTTTTACCACTAAATAAATAAATACTATTGAAAATAAGATTAAATCAAAGTTATAGAGTATATGAAAGCATGAGATACCAATAGTTTGGAAAATATTGCAAAAAAGGGGACAAAAAAGTCATTTCACAAAATTATGGGTTGTTCACTGTGGCCAATGATGCATTCATCGTGGTGAATCATATTGAGGCTAATTTGGTCTACATAATAGTTAGCATTCTATACATAAATGATGGGGGTAATTTTCTTTTAATTTCAAAGTGTAAGATCCAAGATGCTACTCGTACAATAATTTAAAATTTGTGGTACTAATTAAAAATGATATATTAACAAGAGATTGCCACATCAGCATTTTGGCCGGACCTTAATGAGTGAACAATAACGAAATTAATTAGTAATTAATGGTGGGATTTAATTTGTTATAAATATAAAAATTTAGGATCCATTTTATGCATTTTAAGAATGGGTTAAAGGACAAACTGCCCTGGATTTTTTTTTTTCAGGGGCTCGTGGCACCTTGAAATTTTTTTTGGGAGCATTTTTGCCTCGGATTTTTCAAAAAGAGAGCACTTTTTTTCCACCGTTAGAAATTTCGAACATTGACCGTTAATTAAAGTTTGACCAAGGGTTAAATAGCATATCTGCCCCAAAACTTTTTCTTTAGAGGCACTGGGTACCTTGAACTTTTGTTTGAAGCTTGTTTGCCCTAGAAGTTTCAAAAAGAGTAATTTTGTCCTGCATTCTTCTTCTTCATCTTCCTCCTCTTCTTCCTCCTGCTCCTTTTCCACTAGCAAGCTCCTACATTACCATAGATTGGAGTCCAAATGTAAAGCTGGAAAAAATAAGTGTCTGAGATTTATAAGCCTCACAAGAAGTTTGGCAGCTGGCATCTAACTCGCCACTATCACCTTTAGAAATGGTCACTCAAACCCACAACGTCGTTGCTTTGTCCATCAAAGGAAAATCTACCATTCTCAACATCCCCTAGATTGCCTTTGTTCTCTCTCAACAATTGCCACGTGCTCCCCGCATAACATTCAAGCTATTGCTTTCGCTACTGCCACTATGGTCAATTTTGATGTTGTGAAGTCCTTAAAAGAGTCCGAGTTAAGGTCAGAGTCCACAGAGTCATCATAGTTGAGTGAGATAATGGAATTGTTGAATACAAAAGAAGAGAGCTTCTACATGGCCAAGTTCATATGAATTGACTTAACGGAGAGTTGATTGTTTCCAAGTATAGATATGGGTTTGGATGATTTGAAATTGCTCGCTGTTCATGGAGTTGTTCTTGTTGTTATTATTGATATTAACGGAGGTGTTCTTGCTATCTAAGTGATTTTTTTTTTTGTTTAAATGCAGCATGGCTACATATGGCAATTAAAGTCAAAATAACAGTCAATATTGATGACAGGGAAAAATTACTCTTTTTTTTGAAACTTTTAAGGTAAAAAAGCTCTAAACAAAAGTTCAGGGTACCTAACACTCCTGAAGAAAAAATTTCGGGGCAAATGTGTTATTTAATTTTGCAGTCAAATTTTAGTTAATGGTCAACATTTAAAATTTTTAATGGTGGGGTAAAAATATTTTCTTTTAAAAAAGTTCGAGACAAATATTTTAAAAAAAAACTCAGGGTGCCAAGGGCCCTTGAAAAAAAAAATTTAAAACAGCTTTACCTTCTAATCTTTTAAGAATTCAAGGTTTATAATATTTTTCACGTAATATTTTAAAATTTGTTTTGCTTATTAATCCAATTTTATTTTGGGACGGGAATATCTATTTAAAAGTATGATGGAGGGCATTCAAAAAAAGGTGACTGGATATGGCTAGCTATTGTACTTTTTTCAATGACTCACCCACTTACCACGACGACGACGACGACTCTCTCTTCTTCACTCTCTCTGCCTTTATCTTCTTGACGGAGTCTTCTTTACAATTCTTCATCAAAATATCTTTTTCTTTTTTGACCAACTCTGCAGATTCAATCTAGTCACCCTAAAACAAGATTATAGCTCCGATCACATATGGCTTCTTTCTGGTCCCTCAAACTCCTCCTTAAATGCATTGATTTTCTTTCATGGTATACATCTTTCCATATGCCTGCACTGCATATATACTTTCTGCTTCTGTTCAGATTTCTTAATTCTGTAATCTTTGCCCATTTATATATCCTCGCTTTTGCAGTTCCATGTTCTAAACACTTAATCGTCTCTCTAACCCCACACTTTTTGATTATTGACTCTCTGTTGTTCTCATTTACAGGCCCGTTCTTGCTTTGGGTTATCCTCTGTAAGTTTCTCTCTCTGTCAAACCCACAATTTGCTAATAAGAAAAATACTCAGAATATGCTATAAGCACTATCTGTGTATTTCCTTTGAATTATCATGCCAGTGATAAGTTATGCTATTTTTGTTGTTTATAATGATGGTGTTATGTGGTGAAAGATGTGCTTCCATTGAAGCAATTGAGAATGATAGCCATTCAGACACTCGGAATTTGATCTCTTATTGGATACTTCTCTCACTGATATACCTCTTTGAGTATGCTTTTCTCGAGCTTCTTCAGTGGTAAATCATGTTTACTCTCTACCATTTGACAAAAAGCTTCACTTTACTATCTATCAGTTGATGTTCATCTTTAATTTGTCAGAATTTACTTTTTTTTTTTTTGGTTGATAAAAGAGAATTTACATGTTTTATCATATCATCTGTAGTTAAAAATGCTTTAATTATGATATCAGATTGAGGTTCTGCACCAATCTTACTTTTAATTTGCCTCCTTATCTTCAACATCAGGTTTCAGTACTGGCATTACATGAAGCTAGTGATTGTTGTCTGCCTCATGATGCCGGACTTCGGAAGAGCTGCTTATGTCTATAATCACCTCATTCGTTCATGTCTCTACATGAATCCACAGGCTGTCATGAGCAGATTCCGCAACTGGAAGAGGATATTTGTTGAGAAAGAAGAATTTCTAATGCAGGCTGAGACGTACATAGCCCAGCATGGAACTGGAGCCTTAGAGAAACTCATTGCTAGCAAGGTATAAATCACCATATATATATATATATATATATCAGGTATATATGTGTGTATTGGAGTACAAAAGAAACAAGTCTTTTCTGCTATAACTTAGAGTTAAGAGATTTTTGGTACATTAATATAAAATATGAAACTCTAACAACGCATGGGATACACATCTAGTTGTTATTGTAGATTTTCATGTTAAGCATGGCAATTGAAAGTGTTCATGGAAAGCATAGTACAATTGGTATTTTATTTTATGAAAGATAACAAAGTTAAAAGTGGTGTAATGTGAAATGGGATCATCCTATGGCTGTTTATATTTTGGATACTCGGGTTACTTAATATGGATGACAGTATACCAAAACATGGGCATCTTAGATACCCCCTGATATTTGAGATACTCGAGTTGAAATGAGTACACCAAATGCCTTCATGAAGGGGATGCATGCTGGTTTTTAATCTATAAGATGCATTGTTTGAGTTCAAAAGTACTCACCACCAGTCTCATTCAAGTTGCCAACTTGGTTTGTGAATCTTGACTACTGAGGAATTAAGCCAATTATCATTTTCTTTTATTGCAGAGCACAGAGCAAAGTCCTAATGCAGAAACAAAAAAAGCAGTTCCAGCTACTGAGAAGAATGAAATCCTGAAGGTGAATTTTTTTATGTCATTCTTGCCATCCATTCATTGGTATTCTATAGAACATTAACATAGCTGAAAGTGTGGTTTGAGATGGTGTCATCTTATGCCTCTTGCTATTTTTGGATGACTTGGAGAATCTCGGATATAAATACACCGAAACACAGCCATCTTAGGTGTCACTTGAAATTCTATATACTTGGGTTGAAATGAGCATATCAAACGTATTCTTAAATAGAAAGTTGCAAACTAATTTCAGTCTATAGATGTGTGGTTTTGGTTTGAATTACTCTCTCCTTCCTTCATTTAGGCTAGATATTACACCCGTGCGATGTACATGACATTAATTTTTTCTTGATTTTAGGGAAATGGATGACAATAGAATGGAGGAGATATTTTAATGATTTTGATAAAAAAAAAAAGATAGACAAATAGTGTTATAAAATTTTAAATAAAAATTTTTAAATTTGCATTATATCTTCTCTTATAATTAATGAGTTTAAATAGAAATAATTTTATAAAAATGTAATTAATACCCCATCAAGTGCCTTATGTTAAAGACGAACAAATTCTTTTAGAAGGTGCTCTATAATTGAGATAGGAGCGAGTGCAAAATAATGGTATAATTGAAAAAAAAAATATAAAATACACCTAATTTTTTAATTTTAGACCAAGCAAATTTTTAGAAAATACCATATATTATGGTTGGAGAGGAATATAAATTAAAAATTTTTGCATGTTCATTTTTTACTATGGCCCAGACCCCATGTTTTTTTTTAATGTAGACCCCACAACTCCCACCTCTTCTAACTATATAAATTAAAAAAAAAACTGAAAAAATGTCAAACAGCAATTACAATAGGTAAAGATTGCCTGCTTATTTTATATTTATGTGAATCTTGATTGCTGGAGAGTAAAGCCAATTAACCTTTTCTTGAATTGATGAACACAGCACAAAATCTTGATACAGAAACAACAAGAACAGTTCCAACCATTGGGAAGAATGAAATGCAACAAATGAATTTCTTATGTAATTCTTGTCCTTTTCTGGCCAGTTTCAAACATGAAAAAGATAAAACATTTTCTGGGTTAAAGTGTTTGATAAATGAAGAGCAAGAATGCTGTTTTTCTGCCCCCTCCTGCAGTAGTGGTAGAAGATCATTTAGAGTAGTCTGAAAGAGCTTATCTTTCAACCTAACTGTCTTTGTTCAGACAAATAGAGGAAGGCTTCACATGGAACAGAAAGGCATCAAAGATTTGGAGATGATTGAAAAAGAGGAAGTTTCTGAAGTCAAGCAAGTGAGATTTCTTGTCATTTTCAAGTTAAAAGAAGAATTTTCCCCAATACTAAGTAATTCTGGAGTTGCGTATTTGCAAATTGCTTTGGTCTGTCAATACTTGTAGTTGCTGGGAGCTTTCCCTCCTTCCTTGTGATTGCCACAAAAGAAGTTAGGAAAAAGGGGGAAAACAACGTGTTAACGATAAGAACAATGACTAATATTATTGGAAGAAACCGATCAAGGTGTGATTTGGTTGCAGAGGAGTTAGAGCAATTTTCAACATGTTTTAGATTTAATGCTCTGCTTCTTCATGTACAAAAAAGAGTGTTTGACAAGAATATGATTCAATTTGTTCTTAAAATTTGCTATCTACGGAGCACTGATGGATTGAATATTGAGTAGATAGATTACAGAAACATCCCTTTAGTTTTGCTGAAATTTTAAAAACCTCCCATCAATTCTCAAGACTGTTGCAAACTTTTGATGAATTATGCTAAAATTACGCATATATCCTTTCTATTTTCAACACTTGCACAAACCTCTCTTGAGTTTTGTTGAAACTACACGAATCTACCATTATCTTCAAATGTAAGCAAACTCTTCCAAAAAATAGAAATGTAGTCTTTATGATTGTAGCAAAATTCAAGGGAGGTCCTTATAATTTACATTTTGTTTTTAGTGAATTTGTGTTGGTTCTGAAAACAAATGGAAAGTCTACACAATTTATTATTTTCCACTTATATTTCTAGATTAGGAAGAGTACTTGGTTATATCTTCCTCTTCTTTTGCATGCATGAGCAACCATTACTCAGTTTTGGAGACTATACTATAGTTTCTATTTTTTTAGGATCATTATTTTCACTAATTTTCACCTCTGCCAAGTTTTCAACTTTGCAGGCTAATACAGCCTTGGGGAGACTCAAATCAAATGAAAGCGCATCGTCTTCCTCGGAGAAAACCCAAAAAATGGTGGCAGACAGAGGAGGAGGAGCATATCCTCAGATTTCTTCATTTGAGAATGTACAGAAAGAGTGGGCTTGTGCTATATGCCAGTTGACAATGCCTTCTGAAGCTCATTTGAATTCCCACCTGCAAGGATGGGAGCATATGCATAAGGCTGCTTGCGAAGCACTGAAAGCGAAGAAAACCGAAGGAAAGGCTGCGGCAACTGACACAGGAAACGGAGCATCTGATGATACCCCATTACTTATCACTGTTAAATCTCGCAGAAGGAGACGTAGAAAGAATGGAAAAGGGGCAGAAAATATGGGACTATTGGATTAGAAGAAAATACAATGGGTTAGGACCAGATGAAACAAAAAAGTAGAGGAGTAAAGCTAGGTAGTGTCGGTAACGGTGATGACTACTTTTTGGCACTTTAAATTTGTATTTTTTGTGCACAAGGAGGTGTGGAGTATTTTGAAGTTGTGAGTATGAGGAGAGCTCTGACCTGTCGACTTTCAGGTTAGGGGTGGAAGAAGACTATCTTTTGTCATCATTTTCCCTACTTATTTTAGTGTGTTAGTAAGTGGCTTGTGTTTGCTTTACCTTCTTCTTTTTTTTTTTTTTTGGTGATTCTGTTCTGAGTGTATTTTGTTATGTTTCTTTGTAACTATAATTCGAGTGTACGAGTGAAAAATTCAATCATTAATTTTTCTGGTTTTTGCTTGTTTTAAGCTTGTTAGAATAGAAAGTCCCATCATTTGGCGTGGTTGATTTGAGGGGGAAAAAAAGTATGGAAAACTCACTAGTAGGACTCGTAATAACAGCAGACAAGATGTTGAATGTTAAAAATGCTGAAAGATATGGGAGAAAGAATGGAGGGAATGCAAATAACATTGGGGAAACTATTAGACCAAAAGGAGAATTATAAAAGGGAAGAATTAAGAAGGGAGATGGAAAAGAAGATATGTGTTGAAGCTGAGAAGAAATCCGAGGCTGAAGAAGAATATTCTAGAGAAGGAAGTGGTGTTGTATGCGTGGAGAAGACAACCACTATGAAAGTAGTAGAGCAAGAATTTAAGGTTGGACATCAATTAAAGTTATAACTTATTTTTAGCAGCAGAAAAGTTTCAACGAGTCTCTGGTAACAGTGAAAGAAGAGGTGAAACCAGAAGTTTTTCAAGCCCAAACAGTACCAAACATTCTGAGAGTAGTCCAACAAGAATATGTCCAAGTAGAGGAATTGGATAGGGGATGGAGAAAGGATGGATGCTGAGAGGGTTTAAGGGCAACAGTGGAGAAATAGCCAGGAAGAGACAAGATAAAGGCAGAGGAGGTTGACGGCCAGGAGGAGTGGGGAACGGAGAGGCTGAATAGGGTTAGGTTACTTACTTACTACGGAAGCCCAATATTAAATAATGGTAACTCTTTCAAGCTCAATAGCCTTTTAATTTATGAAAGGAGGATGACCCAATCACATGCAATCTTCAATCTCAAATTTAAGAAGCAACTATTGGGTTTGGGCCTTAAAGTAAAAGAAAGAAAATGACAACGCTATTGAAAGCAATATTTTAAAACCCAAGCTTGCTGTCAAATCAAAAAAAATAATAAGTTATAATTTTCATAGTTCAACTAATTAAATTAATTAGTAATCAAATCGGTGACATAAAAATTAATATTTATATACACATATAAATAAATAAAATATTAATTTGTCAAAAAAATCATAATAAATCAAGTAATACCACAAAGCCAAAATATATAAAAATGTCAACAAAGTAATATATCACGGTAAAATCATTATAAAATTCACAATATTATAAGTTTTAATTTTCATAAGCTAATATTCAATGTGTATAATTAAATTAATGATAACTATATAATAAAAGTGATAACCTATAATAAAGTTCCAAAAACATTAAACCTTCCCTATCTTTTTGAGGAATGACAACTTTTGGTAGTATTGTGTTATCAAAAATGAAATGATCTTCTATCTCATCAACATTAAGTAAAAGAACAATCATCTTCTTTCATTACTCAATAATCAATCTTACCAATACTTTCATAATCAAGAGGGTCTCATTTTTTCTTTTTATTAACAACTCTAATAAAAACACATGATAGTAATAACAAAGTATAAGAACTCATGTAATTTATTTTTTTTATAACTACAAATTAAAGCAAAGTTTTGAATAATTTATCTATTCCTCAACTGAAAATTGTAATGAATATAGATAAGATCATTTAATCTTTTATCATCCAATCTACTCCTTTTTTTTAGAATGTATTCTTTCAAAGACTCTTCAATTCTTTATATAACTCGAGAAAAATACACTTTGGCTTAATATTTTAATAGCCAAGTCTTTAATATTTGGACAACTACTTTTAAAATATCTTCACCATTCATTTAACATAACAAAGGTTAAGTTATTAGAAGATATTTTAAAGACAAAATTATAAAATAATAAATATCAAAAATAAAAATATAAATTTTTATCACTAAAGCTATTGAGTCAAATATGATATTAATTTGGCATCATCGCAAACTATTAAAATTTTCCTTTCGACGGTCTTCCACAATGGAATTTTTGAGTGTTTTTTTAATGAAATAGAGCCACAGTGGCTTTTTCAATAAATATTTTTTCAATTATTCTCTTATAATATTATGAATTATTAAAAATGAAGAAAAAAATGTAGCGCTTGAAAGTTGAAAGTAGAAGTTTAAAACAAAAATACAAAATACAGAAGGGCTTAAAAAACTAAGAACCTCACCTAAGTCTAAAAAAGAAATGAACTGGACAATGTGAATTCAAAATTCTAATTTTTGTTTTGGAAAAATTATTCTACATGTAGTTATAGTTTTTCTCAATTTTAAATTAGGCTTTGTAGTGTATCTTATTTAATTTGAGTCCTTAAAATTTTATCTATTAAATATTTTAATCTTCAAGAGTTGAAATTATTATTGAAAGATTAATTTTCTCAAAACAAAAATACTTTTAAAGTTTATTTAAAATTTGATTTAATATTTTTTCTAAACAAATTGACTTAATACAATGTGTGTGTATATATATATTAATTTTTTTTATGAAAATTCTATGTATAAAAATTATTTAGATTGCATAACCCAAGCATGTAAATTTTGTGTTATAAAAATTTAATTAATCATAAAATTATATAATATATTAATAAAAATATAAAAGCACTTACTTTTATTTTCTTAAGAAGAGAACGTTACGAATTTTAACTTTTAAAATTAACAAATTTAATAGGTCAAATTATAAGGGCTCAATTCAAACAAAATAAATTGGCATTTGAATCAAATGTATCCTATTAACATTTTCGAATTTTCACAATGGGGAGGAGTAAGCGCCCATCCGCCTTTTAAAAGTTTTTCTCTCTACCAAATTTTGATTTCCTTACCATATGCCATATATTTTGATGTCTATTGATCCATTAGCAATGAGATCACTTGCATTGCTTACAAATGATGCTGCCTAAATATTTTCTAAAGTACTAAGTGAAATTATATGACGTATTATAGTGGCTCATGTACTACAAGTTTGCTAATGGATTTACAGCTTGAATTTAAATTAATTAACTTTGATTGCTAGTTTTTGCTTGCATGGTGTTTAATTGGCCATTATACTTTTTACCTCTTCTTACTATTTGTGTGCTTTGGATTGTGGTAGATAACTAGTACAGAAGGAGATATCTATATCGGTTAAAATTAAGTATCTACACCAACTTTAATTAGTGTAAAAACTCTATCCATATCTACACCGGTTATATAACTGGTATGAATATTGATCATATTTACATCGGATGGTTACATCATCGGATGGTTAATTGGTGTAGATTATAATTAAAGAATAGGAATTTTTTTTTAATGTCACATATCTACACTGGTTATGGATCATAACCAGTGTAGATATGTGACAATTTTTAAAAAAAATAGGGGTAGTTTTTTGTATATGTATCCAAAAAAACACCCCTATTTAAACAACAATATGTTTATATTACAAACAATCCAAGAAATACATATATATCAAGCATACATCTCAAGTACTCTCTCTCTCACAAAGAGCTATTAAAACACAAAAATGGTTTATAATATATCAAGTTATATAGTAAACCCATTTGGAATTTCTTCTCTTAAAGTCACAAGTCCAATAAGTTTTTCACCAACATTTTTTTGGAATGGTGGAAGTAATGATCTACAATAATGACAAAGCATTAACATTGAGAGCCATATCAAATGCTTGTTTCATAAAAAATGACACACACTCATGAAAACCCAAATTTAATAGTATTGTAGAACAATGACAAGCTTGTTAAAACATAGTTTAACATCTTGCTCATATCTAAAACATTTTCAACAGTTTTGTTAAAAGTTGGAGGAAGGATCTACTTGAAAAAGGGTATTAGGACGAGACTCAAAGATAACAAGCATGACACCCAAAGGGCATGATATTTTCTTCATTACGAGTCTATTTGTGAGCTAGGCACAAGAACATCAGGATTTATTGTTTGAATGGACTAGGACTACCATTGGGATTAGGACCTATATAAGTAGGTGTTTCACCAGGATTGTCTTATAACACATGTTGAGAAGGAATTGAAGTAGAATTAGTTTCTTCCATTTCAACCTATCAATCCTATAAACATTGTGATATAAGAAAAACAAGCATTCCAACATTTCAAATAAGTATACTCAAAGTTTAGTCAACAAAAAATAACATTTCAGCAATAAAAAAAACGCAACATTCATATAAACAAAAATGCTCAAGTTTTTGTTAATAACCGAAAAAAATACTCAAAGAAGATTGTACACAAAAGAGGAGGGGCAGGGGAACAGAGATAGCTAATAATATGATATAAGCATTTTAAGACCATTCTGAAATTCATATCAACAAAAAATAACTCAGTTGCATTGGAACATTTAAAATTTCAAACAAATAAACAAGCTTAGTAAAGTCATTTTTTAATATAAGAGATGAACCCAAGCAATCAAGCATCTTAGGACTATTCACCATTTCAATATATGAAAGAGAGTAACAAAGAAGAGAATGATGAAAGGCAAAAGGAGAGGAGAAGAGAATAGTGAACCTCTCATACTTGGAGCATCAAATAGGCAAAGCTAAGATGGAGGTCAGAACTTAGAACAAGAGAAGCTCTCATGGTTTGACTCTTGATAGACAAAGAACTCTCACGGTTTGGGTGGCAAACGGAGTATAAGCAACAAACTGCTTGCTAGGAGAGTGATGGCTAAGACTTAAGAGAACTGAGGAGAAGAGTTGAAGATAGGTCTAATGGAGTGAGAGACTTAGAGGACTAAGGAAGAGCAAGGGTTCTTTTCAATTTTTCTAACTATAAAAATTATGTTGTTTTATTTATTTATTTTTTAAAAAATATATCCTTAGGTCTAGCAGGGTTAAATGGTTAGATACCCCAACCTTAAACCTTGCCCAACCTGAGTTTCAGGCTCAGTTCAACAATGCCTATATGTTTTTGGGAAGCTTTTTTAGGGCATGGATAGGGCCAAAATTCATCAAGTCAAGTATGGAACTTTAGGTTTTCAAGTTTCTTACATAGCCTTGCTATAATATATTCTTTTAAATAAGTGAGGTAGGCAATTACACATTGTTAGATAGATTGGCTCACCTTAATCACTCTTCATCCTTCACTCAACTTACCTAACCCATACTAAAATTACACATGTA